TGAGATCTGCCTCACTGGGTCAGCAAGTGGTGTTTGCTGTCCGTAATTTCTCAGGGAGCCAGGCTGTGATGGGCTTCATCTCAACCCATGTTTGCATGATCTTAGAGGCAGGAAAAGCGAACCTGATGAGGTTTGAGTTGGCTTCTAAAGCCTGTGCCAGCAGTGACGAATCATTCGTTCCACCCACCTTACTGGCCAGGGTGAGTCCAGTTGTCACGTTTGGGTTCAGAAGGCAGAGAAGGGAGATCCTGCTACGCAGCCGGAAGGAACCAAACACTGCATCCCGGGTGACTACCATAGGGGCACGTCACATCGTTTGCTCCTCAAATAGCAGAGGTCCTTGGAATGCACTGAGCAAAAGTGAGGTTTGGTCGTGACAAGAAGCGAAAGCTGTGTCCTGACAAAAATAACTGAGTTTTGCTCTCCTGCTCCTGAATCCCATGACCACATTGGTGAGGCAGAGCGTCAACTACACTGTTTTCTAAAAGCTGTGTCTTCAGGGCTGGCCAGCAGTTACACTTGCTGAAGCTGCCCCATTGCTATTGTACCTGCTTTTCTGTATGCTTGAAAATGACCATAATGAAATGTGCTGTTTCTGTGCATTTCCCACATGCATTTCCTCTGTGCACAACTGTCAGCTCTTATCTCCCGTGGCAGCATGTACTTTGGGTCACCTCCTCAATTATTTGTTTGTTATACAAGCACATCGAAATATTTTGTTGGCTTTCCCTTTGTTTTGTGACATTAGACTCTTATAAAATAATGTTTTAAGGTTCTTTCTTGATGACTTCTAGTTACATCTGGTTTTTTTTTAAAGATGTAGTTTTATTGAATTTGAGAGCTCGGTTAGACCACAGGCTTCTGATGAAAAATATTCTTTTCCTTCTCTTTCCTTTACCTCCTACATAATGTCAGTGTTTCTTTTTTTAGAGGCGGGATCGCTTTGTTTGTTTATGAAAATAAAGTTGACCAGGCCCTAAGAGCAGGTGGTCCAGGCAGTCCTGACACACAGACAGAATGCCCTTGGCATTGCACCCTTGGCATTGTGTCTGTGCATTCTCCAGATAGTCTGCTGTGTTGTGGGCACTGTGCAGAGTGCTGCAAAACCAACAGAAGAAGGAGACAGACCTGCCCTCCAGTCGCCAGCCACTTATGTCAGGCCCTTGGGCAGATAATCATTAGAAGAGTGTTGTAAGTTGGTGACAGAAGTGCACATGGAAACTGGTGGAGGCGAAACTCAATATGGGAAAGAAGGCATTCTGCCTTCATGAGGGGGGTGCTGAGCTAAGTCTCACGTGAGGAAATCAGCACGGCGGACAGGAAGGAAGGACATTCAGGCAGAGGGGCACCGAGGAGCAGGCGGGAGCCACAGAGGGATCTGTGCTGTTACAGAGTTTGAAGCGTTAAGAGATGGGCGGGCAGCGCGGGCAGGAGTCCTGCCGTGGAAGCCTTTGAGTGGCTTTTAAGAAGCGTGGACTTTACCCTGCAGGCGTTGGGTCAATATTTATGTGGGCTGTGTGGATTGTTCCACTTTAATGGCAGACATGTAGTGTTACAAGACTGAGTCATGAGGACCCACCTAGCCACCGTGCTGGGTACCTTGAAGAACAGCACTGGTCTGCTCACACTCCCGATACCCAGCACATACCCAGGGATGCTTTAGCATGGACAGGGCCTATGTCCTGCTTGAAGACCCCAGCCCCGAAGTCTTGCTGCTCCATGGCAACAGCATTCTGTGCTGCTCCTGTGGAGATGCCAGGACTCACAATCTAGAGTGTGCCCTCCCTCCTCTTCCGGGTGAGCCCCCACTTGGAGCCACCTGGCTGTGAAGCCAGCTGGGAGAACGATGGGCTAATTCAGACCTCTTCCTCTCCCTGGGCAAAAATCCAGTGGCTTCCATGGCGCAGAGCCCAGGGTCTTCTCAGGGACGGGAGGTCGCCTCCTCTGATACGTTCTATGTCCTCCGTAGTCTGTGAAGACGAGGCTTCCCCAGACAGGCTGCCATGTGTGGCTGAGCAGCTGGCCTTGCTCTCGCTTCTGTCGCCTGCCTCATTGCTGGGGGCTTCCCGGCACCCGTTTCCCTAGATCCTGGCTCGTGGCCCCCCAGGCCCGGCCGTGCAGTCCCTGTGTCCTCCTGACCCTTAACGTCTCATCTCTTACAGCCACCCTGGGGCCTGCTGGTGTCTTCCGGGCCTCGGCAGATTTACTGTCCATTGTAAATATCACCACCCTCTTCCTCATGTGTTTTTCCTTATGTTTTCCAGGCCCTTCAGAGTAACCTGAAGTATTCCTTGTTGCCAAGACGGCTCGTTATCAGCAAGAGATTAGCTCAGTGCCTGCATCCTGCTCTGCCCAGTGGTGTGCACTTAAAAGCCCTGGAAACCTATGAGATCGTTTTTAAAATCGTGGGGACCAAATGGCTGGCCAAGGATTTGTTCCTGTACAGGTATGATAGCGTCCCCATAGTGTAACTTTTATTACCCGAGTAATCCATGTGTCAGCTCACGAGGCCAGTGAATGATAAGCAGGCCTCGCCTCCTGGAGCACACCCCCCAGACTGCTCTTTAGGTCGGAGTGCAGTGCTGGTGCCGCCTGCTTTCACTAACAGTGAGCTGTGACCGCCATGATAGGCAAGCATCTGCACGCCCAGTTTAGATGGCTGCTGCCCGATCAGCTGCATTCCTGGTTAGGTGCCTCCTTGATCCCTTCTCCCTCTTCTTCCCCAAAGCTGCGGGCTGTTTCCTCTGCTGGCGAACGCAGCCATGTCAGTGAGGCCCGTGCTGCTCGGCCTGTACGAGAAGTACTTCCTCCCGCTGCAGAAGCTGCTGCTGCCCAGTCTCCAGGCTTTCGTCATCGGCCTGCTGCCCGGCCTGGAGGAGGGCTCGGAGATCTACGACAGGTGGGTGTCAGCCAGCGCTGACGGCGCTGCGCTGCCCATGCGGGTGGGTCAGGCGGCTGTGCTGTATGTCACGGCCTTCTAAGAAGCGAAGAAAGAAGTGCAGATACATGAAGCTGAGAAAGGTGGAGCAGCGGGGTTGACGGCTTACATTCCTGCGTCACAAAATGCTCTGTTCTCCTGGCAGTACCTCCATTCGCAGGTGAGCGTCAGAAGGCGAGACAGTTTCCCGGCATCACACAGTCAGTGGGCGGCAGAGATGGGGTTCTGACCCCCACACCGCATTCTGAAGTCCCTCTTCCCGCTCTACTAGGCTGCTTCTAACAGAAAAGCAAGGCCAGCTTTATTTGATGGGTAGGGCTCGAAAAGGTGACGCTAAGCAGAATATTTTGATCAATTTCAGCAACACTTGTAAATTTGTGAAGCTGACATGCATAAAAGTTCAGGCAGATTTTTCAGCCACTGCCAGGAAGGGGAGAAAGTATATATCCATTCAGACTGTTGAGTATATAGTGTCCTTTTCTGGAGAATTATAATGTAAGACTCACTTCTAGTGCATTAACTGTTCTGACTCATGCCGCAGGATTAGCCTCTGTTCGTGGGATCCATGTTTAGAGCCCATGTGCAGCCTGACTGGGAGGTTTAGAAACCTTTGTGCTTGAAAAGTCTCCACCTGATTACATGACGCACTGCTCGAATCTGCCCCACACCCGAATCCCCAGACGCACCACCTTTGCCTGTTGTATCGGCTGTGACCAGAGGGTGTAGAGGGGCGAGGTGAAATCCAGGAACCAGTCCATGGTCTACTTGGAGTGCTCCCTGAAACTCAAGGAAACCTAATAATCAGAGTGGCTTGAGGGAGTGTGGTTAGTGAGCGGGGGTGCATTTGCATCCTGAGCGTCTGTCCTGGGACCTGACAGACCTAACCAGAAATGTGCCCTTGAACCATTTCAAGCTTTCACACAGAGTGAGCAGGGGAGCTTTTCCATTCCCAGTGGCAAATCCACGCTTACAATGGAGAGAGTCACTGGAATCCACTTCCTCAGGAGACAGTCTGTCCCTGCTGGTTTAAGCCTAGCCCTGTGCCATGTGGCTGCACATGGTAAGGCTCGGTAGGTTTGTGGGTTGATGAAAGGTCAAGGTCACGTAGGGTCAGCAAGAGGACCTTTACCAGACCCTGTCTGTTGACTCCTAGACCCAAACTCTTTCTAGAAGTTCTGGCCCATTCATGTTTTTCAAACAGATATGTGTCATTTGTATGTGTGTGTGCGCATGTGCACGTGTGTATAAATGTTTTTCCATCATCTGACAGATGAACACATTAATTCCCAAACTACGTTGCATTCTTTAAAAATCTTTAAGAGTGAATCACACCAGAAGCGTGTCAGTAGTTGGGGTGTTTTTGTGTGTTCTCTTAGTTGATAAATGAGGGTTCACTTGAACAGCTGTTTCTTTCCCAAAGTACTCAAGAATTGAGTCAAACACCTTCAGCAAATACTGTACAGAGACAGGAAAGCAGGGTGCAGTGGGGGTCAGGATGTCATGTGGTAGAAAATGCACAGGGTGGTGACTCACACCTGTGGAGGCGGACACTGTCCCTGGTTTGTGCTCATCAGTGAACCATAAGGAATGGGAATTTGGGCCAGTGTTAGGACCTAACCATTCATCCTGGCTTTCTGACCCTTTGATGCCTGCAAATTACTCCTGGCCAGAATTCCTTTATAGCTGAGTTTTGCTGCACTGAGAAAACAGATTAGTTGGGGAAAATACTATCGTCCTCTTCTTAGGAGATGGGGGAGAGGTGACTGTTTTAAATGGCCTGTGAGCAAGCACAAACTTGCTCACTGGAGGCTTTCCTGTAAATCACTGGTTCTTAACCCAGGGTGATTTTTGTTCCCAGAGGACATTAGACAATATCTGGAGACAATTTTGGTTGTTACAACTGGGGCGGGGTATGTGTGGTACTGGCATCTTGTGGGTATAGGCAGGAGGTGCTGCTAAACATCCTACAACAGAGACTTATCCAGCCCCAGTGCCCATAGTGTCAAGGTCGAGGAAGCCTGACTTAAACAGTGTCGACTGGCCAAAGTAACTTTCCAGGAAATCCATCAAAAGAGTGGTTTATTCAGGAAAAGAAAAAGAAACAAGGTCACCCCAGTAGTGTGCAAATGCACACTTCCAACCAGCACTCCAACTGGCCGCACATCGGCAAAAATCCCTGATTCCAAGATGGCCTTTCCGTTTATTAGAATCCCTCCCGCTGGAAGTCACAACAAAGTTTAACAGGAAGTCAGGACTAGAGAGTTAACAAGGGGCCCAGCTCCACCCACAGTCCTCCCAGCTCTATGGTTAAACATCTTAAGATGCCAGTTCACTTGTATCATTCCACCCTCTTGATCAAGATCTTTTCTCTAAAAGATAATTGATCAACAGCCAGGTCTTTTAGTCTCCGGTTTTCCAGTGTCCAGCATTTTGTTCCTTGATGTCTGTTCAGCCTCTAGTCCCTCGGTGTCTCTTCAGCCTTTTGTCCCTCGATGTCAGAAGGGCCTCTTCTGTGTGTCATCTCAAGTCATGGGGAAGAGTGCATGGATCAGGAAACAGCTGGTGTCCAGTGTTGACCAGCATCAGAAGGAGAGCTTAAATAGATCAAAGTTAAAGGTAGAATTAGAACAACATAGCAACCTAGCTTATGTGACAGGCATAGACCAGGAACTCAAGTTCCTTAGAGGTCACCTGCTTTAAATTTTGAGAGCTTTAGTTTCAGGTCACCAGACTGTGTGTTTTTCCAGTCAGGGTTCGGTGCCTTCTTTAGGTGTGACACGTGTATCCAAGAGCCTACTCCCTGCAGTTTAGCAGCACGGACTAGTCAGCAGTACCTGGTAGAGGCCCTTCCGGCGTGGCTGGAGGGAATCCTTTTTTAGGTGTCTTTTCCAATAAACAAAATCTCCAGGTTGTAGAGTATGAATTTTTCATTTTTCATTTCCCTGGATGCGTGATGAAATGATTGTTTGACTAAAGTATGATTATTGTTGATAGAAGCAATTAAGCTTTTACAATACTGAAGTATGTCCCCTTTCACCAACTATGGATCAAGAGAGGTGGGGCCAAATGCATAGGGCGTCCTGTAATTATCTCAAAAGGTGAGAGCTTATGAGCCCCAAAAGGGGTAGATCTCAGATTTAAAAGGATTAGTGGCAATGCTTTGGGCCAAGGTATTTGAAGAGTTTCTGTAAACTTTGCCAGTTGGGTCTTAATAATACCATTAGTGCATTCAACCAATCCTGAAGACTGAGGGTGGTAGGCACAGTGAAAATGTTGTAGGATTGGCCAAACAGCGCAGACTTGCTTTAGCACCTGACCAGTGAAATGGATTCCTCGATCACTGTGGAGTTCAAGAGGAGTTCCCCAAGCAGGAATAATCTTCTCTAACAGGACTTTAGCCACTGCTGGTGCATTAGCCTGTCTGCAAGGGAAAGTTTCAGTCCAGGGAGAAAACATACATATCATGACTAAAACATATCTGTGAGATGGGGGAAGCTGTATGAAGTCTAGTTGCTGGACCTCAAATGGCCCATTTGGCAACTTAACATGTCCAGGGGCAGTGCGAATAGGCTTCCCTGAGTTATACTTAGGACAGGTGGGACACCTGAGGTAGGCGCTTTTTGCAGCCTTATTAATATTTCCCTGCCAATATTGGTGCATGAAAGCTACCTTTCATTCTGTCAGTGGACCAATGGTTCAATGCGTGTACAGTGGTTAAAAGTGGGAATTTTGGAGTTTCTGGTAGGACTGGGCTGTTACTTGGCTGGAGCCAGAGCCTCTTTTCCTTATTAAGCCAGTAATTGTTGGATTATCAGTCTTTTTTTTCTTCTTCAGAAGCTGATTGTTGGGCTTCTCTGGCCGGTTTTTCTAAGTTATCAACTGGAGAAGCTTCTTTCTGGACCATGATGGAGGTTCAACTGGTGCTGATGTTTTTGAGGGCAGCATTTTTAGCAGAAATGTCAGCCAGGTGATTTCCTTTGGCTTCCAGGGAGTCAAGTTTAGAATGCCCCAGAATCTTAATAATGGCTAAGGCATCAGGTAAAAGTATAGCGTCCAATAATTTCTGTACATATTGATTATTCTTAAGTTGATCTCCAGTGGAGATAAGGAAACTATGTTGTTTCCAAAGTCACGGCCACCCCAAAGGCATATCTGCTGTCAGTATAAATGTTGACAGCTTTATTTACCCTTTGCTAAAATGCAAGCCCGAGTGAGGGCATATAATTCAGCCTGCTGTGCTGAAGTGGCCAAAGGCAAAGGTGCTGCCTCGATGACTTCAGAAGGAGTCACAACAGCATATTCAGCACAGTACTCACCACTGTCGTTTTTTAAGTACGAACCATCAGTAAACCATGAGAAATCAGCTTTACCCAGAGGGGTCTTCTGTAAATCATCACGAGGAGTCAGAAGGTGATCTGTTAATGTCAGGCAGTCACGAGGGACTTCCTCAGTCTCAGAAAGAAGAAAATCCAGCATGATAACTTCTTTAAGAAGTCTCTGCCTAAGAAATGGGTAGGGGCAGAAGAACTCAGGAGAAAACAATGTTAATGTTCATCTCTTAAGGGACCCAGACAAAAGGGAATAGGTTCAGATACGTAAACCTGTTTCTCCAAGATGATTAAGGAGAAAGACTAGAAAAGCCCCTGTAATTCCTCAGAGCCCTGTCACTGGGAATTAGGAAGGCCTGAAAAAGACCAGTTAGTTGGCAGAGAGCGTCTTGTACCCTTCAACTTATGGCAATCCCTTTTCCAATGTCCTTGTTCCTTGCAGTAGTGGCAAAAAGTTGGAGTTCTCTGATTTTCCTCAGGGCCTCTCATTTGCTACTGCTGAAAGTCAGATGTCTTGGCAATCTTCCAGGTGGCCCACCTCGCGTACTGGCAAGTGCATTACCCAAATTTACAAAGTCTAGGGTAGACCTAGTTCCCCATCTCATCCTGGATCTCCTAACCAGGAAGGAAAGATTTTTATTCACCCTATTGACACATAAAGAATTAAAAGTTACACGTGTGATGTCAACATCTGAAGGAAGACCATAATTTGCCTTAAAAACCACCTGAAACCTATTATAATAGTCATGAACAGATTCGTCAGGCTTCTGTGAGTAAGTGTGAATTTTACTCCAATCAATAGACCTCGGAAAAGCTTCAGGGATTGCTCTGTGCAGCTTTCGAGCAGGTTCCCTGGCTTCCTCAGTAATTTAGAGATTGGCTTTTCTAAATCCCTTTCAGGATGCTCCCATCCAGCAATCCTCATCCAATGTCTAGCTTGGCCTCCACCAACCAACATATGGATTAGCTGGTACAAATCAGAAAACCCAGGCTGATGGGCTTGAATAGTAATATCGAATTCCTCAGCAAACTGATTAGAATCCCTAGTTACCTTAGGAAGTCCCTTTGCAATAGCTTGTAACTCTGCTTTGGTCCTAGAAACACAGGAGGATCTCCAGAAGGTTTAATCTTAAATGGAAACGTACTGATAAGTTTCGAGGAGTAAGGGAGAGGAGCAGGTTCAAGAGAAGGTGCCGCCCGGGGGTTGAGTTGAAAGCGGAGGAGGCGGTAATGAGGAACAAGGTGGCATTGGAGGTGGAGTTTGAGACAGAGGAGCAGTGCGGGAAGGGCAAGGCAGCGCTGTAGAGAAAGAGCACAAGGTTTCAGGCTCCATTCTCTTTCAGAATTTTAACAGTCTTCGTGAACTTTGAGACTTTATTTTGTAACAAGACCATGTTAGATTTACAGTCCTGTTTGGCAGCCTCCCTATACCGCTCCAAATAGGCATTCCATTCCTCTCTTAGTTACAGCGCCGCTACTATCCGATTTAGTTTTAAGAAAATCAAGTTTGGGAATCTCAAAGTTCCCCAAAGTGGCCACTGATTTTTAAAATTACTCGTAGTCAGATCTGTCCATTTAGTTAAATACGTGCACGAAAATTCTCCGCGGGTTTTAAACATATACCCTGCCGGTGGCTGAGGGGCAGTTTTAGAAGACTTAGACATCAGAGATATCATTTTTAACACTGGGCCCAAAACAGTTCACAGTTTGAATAACCTGCAGGTCTTCAGCCCGCCTCACTCTCACTCTGGAACAGCCTGACTGCAAACCAGGCTGAAGGCTAGAGCCAGTTCCAGGCAAATAACCAAATTTTAGGAAGTCAGATTACAGGCTGAGCTGGCACCGGGCTCAGACCAGTTCTCAATTCAAGTAGCCCATAGGTCTTCAGCCACCGCCCTCTGGAACAGTCTGATTACTGAGAACCAGGCCAAAGGCTAGAAGCCAGCTCTAGGGAAGTAGCCAGCTCTCAGGGAGTTAAGCCACAGGCTGAGCTGGGAGGCACTCCGTTAACGTTCTCAATGAGACAGCACGATCTAATACCGGCTAAAACTGACCAATTTTAGTACAAATAACCTCTTATCGCCAAAGGAGAATTAGGTAAAGGCCAGTTTTGTGTGTGTTTGTTTTTTTTGTCTCAAAGGACAGCTTGCTTTCTGAAGAATTCAAGCCGACGTGCCACAAGTACTCAAGACAACACAAAGAAATAGGCCTTAAAGCATTCGCTCACAGGCACAGCAACAGACAAACAAAAAACTTTTTAAAAAACAATTCCCAAATAAAACCTGGAGAGCACCAGACACAAAAGTCCAATGGCTCAGATCCAGAGAAACTCCCCTGAGGCTTCTAAGCCATGGAGCAAAGAATCAAGCGGAACAGCCCAGTTAGGTGCCATAGTTTGCTCACCAGTCAGAAGCCATCAGAGTGCCGTTCCTCCCTGGATCCCGGACAGGAGCCCCCAAAATGTCGACTGGCCAAAATAGCTCTCCAGAAAATCCACCAAAAGAGTGGTTTATTCGAGAAAAGAAAAAGAAATGAGGTCACCCCTATAGTGTGCGAATGCATACTTCCGACTGGCCGCATACACATGCAGAAAAGCCTCGATTCCAAGATGCCCTCTCCATTTATTAGAATCCCTCACCCAGAAGTCACCACAAAGTTTAACAGGAAGTCAGGACTGGAGAGTTAACAAGGGGCTCAGCTCCACCCATAGCCCTCCCAGCTCTATGACTAAGCATCTTAAGATGCCAGTTCACTTTTATCAATAGTAATTGAAAAATATTGATTGGCCTCCCTTTTGGTTGATTCCAGGCACCATGGTAAGCTCTGCTGGTTCTAGAATGTTCTACCCCTTTTGGGAACAATATTTGACCTCTGATGGTGCAGGGCGCCATTGTCACTACTCTGCCTGTTTGGTGTTGTGACACCCATTCAGCAAGGGGCTGCCCAGCCACGGTTGTGAAACGCTGGGGGTTTATGGCATGCGGCTCATGTCACTCACTGGTCTCGGGTGAGTCACGCAGAGACGGTTGGTGGCGGCTGAATGAGCTTGTGTTTGCAGAGGCACATGAGGGCGGCAGCCAGGCAAATGAGGAAGCATGCGAAGAGCAGGGGTTTGGGGTTTGGTGGTGTTTTGGGCTTGTTGGCTGGTTTTGAATAGAAAAGATTAGCATTGTGGACACTAAATTGTGCACACTAATTTTGAAATTTCACAACGAAGATGGTAAGAGTAATTCTTATTTAGTAGGAAGTTTGTTTTCAACCCCTTGTTCTTGCTCTTTACTTTGCTCTCCATAGCAAAGTCCTGTCACAGTTGCTGTTTTCTGATCTCTGTGGCATCATTTAAAATTTTAATATCCATTAATTTTTTTTCAGAATAAAATGAGACTTAAAGCAGCATTTATTTAATAAAGAAAACTAGCCAGTATATTCTGAATACTGAAGAAGGGATAGCATATGTGGCATTTCCCAGGCTTTGTAACAGTGGAACCCCTTTTCTGTGGAACAGCGCAGGTGGCCAGTATGTTCTATGATGGAGCATACTCTGGGAGTCCGCTGCTGTCAGCCAAGGAGGATGTAACAGTGGGTGCTGGTACTGTCTGTGATGGGTTTTATCTAAGTGCCGGTCTTCTTGTGAGAGGGATTCTGGAGAGAGAGGAGCACCCCTGGGCTTCCCAATCTGTTGCTGTAGGAATCACTTTCTAACTCAGGACCATCCTGCCCGCCCAGGGGACACAGTGACCCATCTGCCCGACTGACTGTAACTGCAGCTGCTGAGGGGTGCTTCTGCCCCAGACGAGGGCCTTTGCTGCATCGTTTTCAGAGCTGGGTAAGATAAGCTCTGTGTGTTTACTCAGCCTCGATGGAAGACCGGTGGATACCTTCAGCCACTAAACCCTTCTGTGCTTTTCCCAAACTCTGGGCTGCTGTTACTCATGCCATCTTCATCTTTGTTTTTTTCTGAGAAGATGAAACCATGCATCATTTGCTACAAATATTTTATGAGGCAAAAAGGTTCAGACTAGTTTTAAGGAGAATAAAATTCATTTTTAATATAAAAAGTAAGTACACTTTTTATATGAAGTGTTCTTATATACACATAACTGACTATTGAAAAGCAAGCTGAACAGTTTGGGTTATAATAAAAGGGGAAGCGTGGCATGCATCTGACGGTTTTTTCCAGTGCCAGCTGTGTGTCACACGTTCATCTGGGCACTGGGGACACGTCAGCAAACAGCCGACCTGGCAGCAGTGGTAGGCGTGACGGCCTGAGCACCCGTGCAGGTCTCTTGTGCTGAGTTTCTACACAAGACTCACATCCTTCTTACAGCATCTCCATCCCCTTTCATATCTCACGGTGGAAAGCTGACTCGCACGGAAGCTAAACTTGTCCTGGGGACCACAGCCAGGAAGCGGCCACAGGACTTAGCGACCAGAAAGCTGGGTCGGCCACCGCATTCCCCTGCGCTGGTCCTTCTGTGATTGTTTTCAGTCTTCTTGGCCAATTGGAAGCATCTGAGAAATGGAACCCTTTCAGATTTTAAGTCAGATCACTCATGAAGTGAAACCCCTTGTGGGGTTTGCCTCTGCTGTTATACTGACAGGTGCTCACCTGGCCCTGCCAGCTTTGTCCTCACTGTTGACAGGGCAGATGCCCTAGTCAGCTGCAGTTACAGCACTGAGCAGAGAAGGGCCCGGCCGTGGTCAGCGTCAGTGGGAAAACAAGTCTGAAGCTGCTGTAGTGTCGGGAGAAGAGACCTAGATAAAGATAAGAGGCAAATAAACGTCGGCATCAGCAGGAGTACTTCCCAGAGTGGGAGTCCGCGTAGGGAGGTGCTGTGAGCAGTGACAGAAAACACTGCCCCAGGCTGTATGGAACTTGCTGTGGAATGGGCAGCCGGGTGGGTTTTGTCCCCGGGGTTTCTGAAGTAAAATGTCACATTTTGGGCTGTGCTCAGGTTAGGAGTGCCTTTATCACTCTTTAGGTGTCCGATCAGTCACATCAGCCTTTTTAATTTTTTTGACATGTTAATGACTCCTCATGCTTTGATATAAAAGCTGACCTGCTCGGCCCATTTTTGGTGGTGGAACCGCCCTCCTGTAAGTAGCATGGCGTCCACAGCAAGGCCACAGATTGGATGGGTCTCGGTGCTGCGGTGACACAACCGATCACACGCTGCCTGTTGGCCAAGAAGCCGTGCCTCTCAGTAACGTGTGTTTTAGCAAATTCAGTGACAGTGGCAGGTGGACAAACACAACGACAAGATGGCAGCAGCTCAGGATGGTGAGGACAATGGTATTTCCACGGCCAGGCAGCACGAGCTGAGGCTGTGAAGCGTTTGTGGAGCTGCGCACAGTGAGACGGACACCCCGGGAAGGTCCCTTATGCTCTGCAATCTCTCATCCACAGAACAGACGCTCTGCTCCTGAGACTGTCCCTGGTGGTCGGCAAAGAGGTGTTCTACGCTACCCTTTGGGGCAGTGTCCTGGCGAGCCCGGCCATCCGCCTGCCCGCCTCGCTCTTCGTGGTGGGCCACATCAGCAGGGACTTGCCGGGCAGGGAGCAGAAGTACATGCTGGGGACGGATTACCAGCTCACGGTGCGTGCTGTGCTCCTCACTGGGGTGTGGGGGGCCGTGGGGGCGCACAGGCACAGATTGTCACTGGGGCTGCAAGGGGACGTCGGGAGCAGCGGGGAAGTGGAGCCAGAGTGTGTGTAATGATGAGCTGCTGAGCCAAATGAGGAGGTGTCACCACCGAGGAAACCCAAGATGGTGGTATTTGTTTCTAACATATGCATTATGATTTATATATTCACATAAGTGTTTTTCACACCCAGGCAGGGCCCTCCTGGAGTCCCAACAGCTCTTCAGGAATGTGCTTAGCTACAGACAGCATGCAGAGAGCCTACATTGAGACTGCTGCTTTTGCTAAAACCGTGTTTTCTTCCCCTGCCCTGTCACACTGCCCACCGCCCGCACCTGAGGCCCCTCCTCTGCCACTATCTTGGTCTTGCTCCAGCTGTCATCCTCTCTGGCTGCTCTCAAACCTAGATTGTCAGGGCTCCTCAGGTGTCTGTCCCCTTCGAGGACAGCTCCCTTTTCAGGACCTTAAAAAACAGGAACTTCCCAGATCTTTGTCTGTTCTCCCCAAACATTCCTCTTGTGTGTTTAATGGCCTGCCGTCTATCGCCATCTAGTGGTGTACTCACATTCCAACTTAAAATGTTGAAAAATGAATTATTGGTAAGAAAGTCAGCAACTTTGTGTGAATTACTCACCCGTCTGAGTCCATTCC